AGCCTTTCTCCCCTGAGTTTCACTTAACTAGCACTGGGCAGGGGCAGGAAAAGCGAATTTTCAAAACTTTCTTGTCTTTCACCTAAGGTGTGACTTTCGAATTTTAGAATAAAAACCTCAGTGTCCCGTTGTTTGCTTTGGCTGTGCTTCCCCTTGGTGATTACAGCTTCACATCCGGGTGTGAATGGACGACTAGCCCAGGTACAAAGATGGCGCGTCACAGCCCACAGCGCCATCTGCTTCTTCGCTGCCCTTCTGTTATAATTCTTGCTCCATCCACTTTGGTGTGTCCTCTTCCTCCACCTGAATGCAGGTATCTTTCTCTACAGGCTTTTCTTTGGGTCACTTCATGCATTTAATGCCTTCAACCGTTACGTCTCTGCCCTAACTCCCAATGCTATGCTTCACTCCTGAACTGGTTCCCAATTAAATCTTTTTGACAAATGCAAATAAAGATCAGAGTTAGTTTTTATTTATTTAGGAGTATAAACTGCCCCGAAAGTAACCCACTCAAGTGCTACAATTATTCTTACTGTAGTGAATTTCCCTATTTTTTTCACTTGAAATTTAAAAATTTTTTAAATTTTATATTTTTTTTTTATTGAGTTAGTCAGTTTACAATGCTGTGTCAATTTCTGATGTACAGCACAATGCTTCAGTCATACATGAACATACATATATTCGTTTTCATATTCTTTTTCACCGTGAGCTACTACAAGATATTGAATGTATTTCCCTGTGCTTACCGTATAAACTTACTTATCTATGTTATAGATACCTGTCAGTATCTGCAAATCTCGAACTCCCAGTTTATCCCTTCCCACCCTCCTCCCTGCTGAAATTTTTTATTTTGCTAAAGTTTACAAATAGAATACAGCAGCCCACATTCTATGGCTTCTAAAAAAAATTCTCTTATTTTCTTAAAAAAAAACCTTGGATTTTCAGATTCCTAGGTTCTTAAATGAAATTATTAACCACACTTTGGTCTGCTGCTCACATTTGTGATGAATCTGCTCCTAGGTTTTAAAGTTGAGTTGGAAGGGAAGCTGTCTGCCTTGTGTTTCTCTCCCAACTGCCCCAAGTCTCTTTGCACTTCTCCAGAAGTCACGTTCAATACAGTGGCAATATTTCCTGGAGTCCTTTTTTATTTTTAATTGAAGTGTAGTCGATTTACAATGTTGTGTTTGCTTCTGGTGTACCTAGTAGTGCTTTTGATGGCAGAATTGTCCACTCAAAGCTGTACTTCTAAGGCTGGTCTCTCCTAGGGCAAAACTAGCGAAGAGGCTTGGAGCCTAGACCCGGCAACCCAACAGCCTGAGTTCAAACTGCAGCTGTCATTAATAACTCGCTCTGTGACCTTGAACAATTTATATAACTTCTGTATCTAAGTTTCCTCATCTACAAAATGTGGATAACAAAACTCCCTAATTCACTGGGCCTTTGTGAGGATTAAATGAATTAAACAGTGAAAGAACTGCCCCATACTAAGAATTATATAAATAGCTATTATTATAACCAGTCATCTTTTGATGTCTGACGACCCCTCCCCATCTAGTTATCAGCACTGGCATCTGTTTATTAGACCAGACCAGGTGTTTAATTTTCTGAGTCATTTCTTTAAAATTTCAACTTTTCAGATAAAGATCTCATATATCTTGTACATTTCACATACACACAATTTAAGCATTGATACACATTATAATGATTTCCTTTTAACAGTTACTAAAGCAGTAGGTATGAAAAGGTTTGTGCTTAGCCTAGAGTAGGGCCAGCAAGAGAGAAGGCTTGGGTGTGACATCGAAAGGAAGGAGGCAGGACTTGATAACTTACTGATTATAGAGGATCTGTTAGCTGAAGGAATCACATACCCCTCTAAAGGACCAACCTAGTGTGACTGGGAAAGTTAAGGTGGGGTGCTGAATTTATCTATTGCTATGTAGAAAATTATCCCCAAATATAGTGGCTTAAAACAATAGCCATTTATTTTCTCTCATTGTTTCTGTGGATCATGAAGCCAGACAGGGCACAGGAGGGATGGCTTGTCTCTGCTCCAAGATCTCTGGGATCTCAGCTGGGATGTTTGAAGGCTGGGGACTGGAATCATCTGAGAACTTTTTAATCCATATTTCTGGTTAGATCTAGCCTGGGAAGTCACATACCTCACTTCTGCCAAACTCCATGGTCGGGGCAGTCAGTGTTTCCTGCCCAGGTCCAAGGGGAAGGAACACAGACCCCCACCTCGAGTCGGAGTGAGCATCCTCATATTGAAAGAAGAACTTGTGGGGTGGGCTACCTGTATGGTCGCCCACCCCACAAGGCCGCTCCCCACCCCCCGCCCCAGATGGCTGCTCTCCTGCTCTCCGGACGTCCCCTTCTTGACCAGACCTTGCTTCATCCACACCCTACTCACCCGGATGACCTTCCCTCTTAACCACACAGCCTGATTAGTGAATGCCTGCGTACTTGGCCCCATCTCCGCTAGTGACTGTTCTAATCTTTGAATCAGAACATCTCTACAAAGATAGTTTATCAAAGGGGTGGTGAGGAGTGTGCTCCTCTGCTGGTCTCCCTGGTAACTAATGAGCCAAGCTGATGTCAATTCCCCCTGTAGCAAGTCCCTCTTCCTCCCTGAAGCCCAGACTGTGCCCCTTCCAGCCTGCCTTCTGCAGCCCGTGGTGGGGTGTCTCTCCAGGACCCTCTTGCTATGGGTGTAAGATCCCCTACCCAGTAAACCATTGATGTCTCTGAGACTGACTCTGGACTCTTCTGGTCTTGAGGCCAGGCAATTACAGGGCTTGCAGGCCTGTGGGGTGCAGCCCAACACTAACTTTAGTTGTGGCCAACTTTGAAGAATACAATCTCCCTCTGTTACAAAGCATAATTAAGGGTGGGGATTTTACTTTAGGGAAAACATGGGTTTGGGCGTGGAGGAAGCTGAGTTGGAGTGCTCACTGTGTGTGTTGCCACTGCTTTTATCTTCTGTATAAAATCAATATAAAGGAAAATAATGTTACAAAGTCACAAAGATTTGCTGTCTCCAGCTCTTCAGCCGACGATCCCAAGTAATGGGTTCCCAAAATGCAAGAATAATCATAGTTAACATTTGTATCATTCTCTGGGAAAAGGGACAGGAAAGCAATGCAATGTAATGATACCAGTTCAGACCTGAGCTCCAACCATTTTCTGTGCAATCATAGACAAAAAGTTAACTTCTTTGTAGCTCTTCATCTCATTAGTTAAGGTGTGGACAGTAACAGCATCTAATTCATGGAGTGTTGTGAAAGTTAATATAATTTTATTAATTGTTCAAGTTAGGCATTAATGTGTTTTCTCTTCTTCCTCCTATTGAAAAACAATTGCAACATTATCTCATTATAAACGAAAACCTGACTTGCTTAAAAGTATTTTCATGACTTTCCTTTGTCTATGTGGGTCTAAGTGAGAGAAGCAGGCTCAGTGAATGGAAAAGGCCCGGTTACACATAAACCACTGGTCTCAGGAGGTCAGAAGCGGTGGAAACGGCTCCCCAGCAGCCCAGTCAGGTGCTGGGTGGTTTCTGCTCGGACGCCCACAGTCACATGCGGCTCCGGGGCCCAGCGCCAGGCTCCGCCCCGCCCCTCCTCGGCTGCCGGCCGAATGACGGCCGGCCAATGCGATCCGAGGCTGCTATTGGAGGAGCGGCCGGGCCGGGGGTGGGGCGGA